GAAGAAGAGACAACTTAGCAGCCATGAAATCTTGAAAAAAAAAGAAGAAAAACTTAGCAGCCCTGGAGCTGACTTTTATCTCCAAATCCATTACTAATGTGAAATAGAAACCAAGAGAATCCAAATGAATAAATGATCAAAGAAAAATATAACTCAAAAGAAAGGCCATAACATAATAAAACAAAGAAAAGGGGAAAACCCCAAAACATGCGAAAATAATGGCATGGCCCATGGCAAATCCAAAAGCAGAAAGTCGAAGTGAGCCCAATTATGCATTCCTACAGCCGGTTCTTACGCCCAACGATCAGAGTTGCGCTAATAAAAGTCAATCCCGAATAAGACCACTTCATTATTAAGGATTGCGGAATATTCAACCTTTACGTTCAAAGTTTCAAACATGACTCCAAACCGCTCAGGTCCGCTCTTACTCTCCCAGCTATAAATACCCCAAATCTCCGCACTTCTGCATCCATTGCAAGCATAACCAAGAATCAACAACCAAATCACCTATATTTTGAGCTGGTAACTTTGTTCTTTTTTTGCGGGTTTTAGTCGATTTTTGGGTTCGAGATGGATTGCAGAAAAGCAGCGATTCTTGTATTGGTTTTTGTCATTTTTGTTGCCATCATGGGCCAAGTTCATGTGGAGGCAGCGAGGTTGTTGACAGAGGAAGACTTCGCAGGCGCCAATCACTTGGATAAATTTCCTTCGGTTTATGCAAAAGCAAGAGACACGATGTCGCATTGGCTTGAAAGGTTGGCTTCTGGACCTAGCCCTAGAGGACCTGGTCATTAAGCTTAAAAGTTTGGCCAGCAAGTATTTAGGGAGCGGTTCGGCCATGCAAGCACAATGACAACCAACACTAGTATATTTTGGTAGTTTTTACCAATTAGAGAGTGTCTAAGACTCTGTTTTTTTTTTTTTTTGGTTATTTGATTCTTTCTTTCTTTGATGTGGTTATTTGATTCTTTCTTTCTTTGGTGTCTTGTTACACTATGAAATCTTAATGCATAGATGTATATTTCTGACTTTTGCCCTCGAAGTGGCAGTTATAATGATAGATATTTTTTTTCCTCAATGCTTTCTTTCATTTCTTTTGCCCTTGATCAATGGTTCAAGCTTTCTACAATAGCAATGCCATGGATAACTCAGGTGTTCCAGTTCATCATATGCAAAAAACATGAAAAAAAATTTCTGCACATTTCATGAGGGCTTCCTTAGTTTGCAGACACTTCGATCAACAAATTAGAAAATTTTCTGATGATGGATCATGAGTTGGCTCCATGAGACAGTGTAGTGCAGCTTTTATAGAAGTATTCCTCACAAAGCATGGATTATCATTTTCTAGAAGATACTATCACGGATTATCATATCCTATAACATACTATCGTGGTGAAAACTTCCGTCTACTCCATAAAGTTGTATTCTTTTAAGGGTTCTCTGTCTATAATATGTACCTTTAAGCCACTGGTGAAGTGGGATGAAATATTTAGAGCAAATTATCCGGTTGGTCACTAAACTTTTGCGATCGTCGAGTTTTGGTCACTCAACTATTAAAAGTCTGATTTTAGCCACTAAAATGTATAAAGTTAAAACGCGAGGCCATTCTGTTATATTTGGCCGTTAAGTTCGCAAATCTGTCTATCCGTGCGATTTCCAAGACAAAAGGCAGGGTCAATTTAGGAAGTTCAAATGAATTAAAAGCTGACGAGCAAAGTGGGGACATAAATATAACTGGAACTAAGCAAAAAATATGCAGTCAAATTGGGAGTTGAAGAAGCAAATAGTACAGACACTACTACAAAAATGTCGTTTAATGACATTTAAAAGCGTCATTATAGCTCGATGTAATGACGTTTGATCTATAATGACGCTCAGCTAGAAACGTCGTCCATTCCAGCGGCACTATAAGTTCATGACAGTTATACGAGTCCTAATTTGTAGTTCTGTTGGCATTTATAAACATTATTATTTATCGTTTTAATGACACTTTTAAATGACAAGAAATGCTAGAGAACAGCGAAGGTTATATGAATCTAAAGTGATACTCGATGCCTGTCATATATTGGATCTATCATGACGCTTCTATTATGTAAGTACAATAAGATATTATGACACATTTGCCGTATAAGTAGAATGAAATATTATGACACTTTCATGGTGTAACTAGATCGGATTGTTCTGACACTTTTAACATGAAATTTTGTGAATATTATGAACTGCAAAACTCGAAGTGGTGACACTTTTAAGTGTCAATACATCATATTGCATTAGCCCTGTATCCCATCCGAGGTTTTATACCTAAAAGCAGAATCACATTTCATCCTGCCTACACAATATAGATTCTAATTTTTGGAATAATAAAGTTATTACTACCACCTTATAAAGGAAAACCAAGCCAATTTACATTTTCATAGTAATTACTGCAATACAAGTAGCCAAAATGGTGCAAAAGTACTGCATCCAAGCAACTGACATTGCTGCTATGTCAACAAATTACATGCCAATTTAGAGATTCTTCAAAAGTTATGAGTATTACAGTAGCATTGCCAATACATATCAAAGAAGCAATAGTTCAACAAGAACTCAACAAAAAACGCATTGACAATGTCTTCAAAAAATAGCCATTTGACCCAAGGACGATCCTTTAGTTTTCTTCAAGAATCACCTACAAGTGTCATAAACCAAGAAATAGAAGTTACAATCACATCTACAGCTCTTCTTTTACAGTTTTAATGTTAGAAAATAAATAAAAACTAAGTTAACCAAATGATAAAGATAAGATAAAAAGATTACCAGGTTTATTGGCCAAGCAATAGCTACTCCAATTGCATCTCCAATCTTGAGAAAATTATGGTATGGTCTCATTAGCTCTTCATCATTCTCCACAGGCACATTCACATGAACTTCACACCAATGTGATCCCAAAGGTATGTCACCAACTTCAGCAGTTGGATCCAAATTTCTAACCACTCCAACAACACAAATTTTGGACGAATCAACCATGCTTCTTATTGTAACTTTATCCCCAACCTTGAAAACAAATTTTATAAAACATATAACCACATATAAGAGAGCAAGTCTTGAACAGATATTCAATACACAGTACCACAAGAACCAACCCAAAATGACAGCCAAACAAATACCAAAACCAAAGTGCAGTCCATTACAATCAATAATGATATCCAAAACAAGAATCTCAACAATTAACATATAGCAATTACAAACATGTTCATGAAAACCATTTGTGAACGCAGCATCTAAAGAAGGTCATAATTGAACTGTTTATTACTTTTATTGGGCGAGAAATAGCATTTGATGACTGTGAAATATGTCTTTGCGAAGATGGCGAAATTTGTCCTTGTGATCTTCCTTGTTGAATTAATTCTAGTTGCTGAATTCTTCGCTCCATTTTTGACATCGCAGCGCTTTGTTCCATAACCAAGCAAAACATGTTGAACGACTTGGTATATCGCCCCACAAATCAGATTGTGCAACTCCTAAACCATATGTATGAACTCTTCCACTCCTTTCTTCACCCATTACTTTTGCATACACGTCATTCCTACCCACACTATCTTCTTCTCCTTCTGGAAGTTGATTTTTTAAGCTTTCCATCTCCTCCTAAAATTAACAATTCAAAGTTACTACATTCTCGTTCTTATCGTAACAGAAAAAGCCTGTTATGAATGAAGTGAATAAGCAGCAACAACATACCATTTTTTCCCCAAATTCATAACTAGATGGCACTCCATTAGAATTAGTGTAGCATATGGTGAACATATATGCTCTAGAGAGAGAATGCCCAACCTCTTTTTCCTACATATAATAGTACATCCCAAGAATATATCAGAATGAAAAATTAGATGTTGTTACCAATTTATATATTATACCTTTTCTACTCGAACTTGTGCAAATGGCTTTTTCCCTGTACTATGATTCATCTTTTTCTTCTCTCGGTGCTCCTTGTTTGTTGCAGATATTCTCTACATAGTTAAACATAACAAAAAATTGTTAAGTATAGGCAAACAGAAAAAATGATCACGACTATGAGAGCATTTCATACCTTTGACTCTTCGGAAAGCCATTTAGTCAAAATATTTCTCCATTGCTGTGGAAGAACTCGTTTTGGTCTTTTAAGCACTTGACTTTCAATTGACTCATTTGGATTGAAATAAGTTTTCTTGAGAGCATGCTTCCAACTTCTCCATTTCTTTCCTACTGATTGCTTAACTCGTTCTTCTATGCCAACAGGGAGATCAAATTTTTCCTGTAATATTGAACACTCAATAAAAGAGAACAAGTATTCAACTAATGTAGTAGGTTCAAGAAATGGGTACCTTTACTACATGTATCATGTCATTCTTTAAAGACTTGGAAACTTTACGCCAACTATCAATGTCAATTGGTGCATATTTTCCAATTCTTGCCAATGCTCCCAAAAATTCATTGAATTTGCTTCTATTTGTACCAATTGGCTCACCAAGTGTATTGAATTTCACTTTAATTCGCTTGTCAGTACCATGTCTACCCCAAATGTGTCTCATATAAGTTGGTCCCCGAGTTTTCTTAGGCTCCTGATCATCATCAGAACCACCACCTGCAAGTATAATAGACAATTATGACATATCTTATGAAATAGAAACTATTGTTATAGATTATATCTAACTGAAATATTAAGTAATTAGTAATTAATAACATACCAGTGCCTTCCTCATTTTCCAAATTTTCAGGATCTTCATCACGCAATTGAAAGCTCCTTGATCCTCGATAGCTTTTTCCTCCTTTTGTTCTCGCCATATTTGTACAACTACAATTTTAAATTCATAACAGAAAGTGTACAGCTAATAGTATATTAACATGTAACAAACAGCAAAGCATAAAAAATATAAGCATGTAGATACACCACAATTCAATACATAAAAAGCAACCGAATTTACTGGACATTAAAGCAAAATCAAAAGATAACATTCATTTAATTTATATAAGATACCAAAAGATCATCCCTTGGAACTAAATGCCACTCTAGTAGTATCAACTATTTCTCCTATGACACCTTCTCGAACCCAATTAATATCATCAAATGTATCTCTTTGATGACTACTTGAAGGCTGGCTTTGTAAGTACATCTCAACATCTATGGGATCCATCTTCAAATCATCTCGTGGTACAGTTGGAATAACAACATTCCACCCCTTATCCAAAGGATCCTCCACATAAAATACTTGTTTCACTTGAGATGCAAGAACGAAGGGTTCATGGTGGTGCTTCACATTCATAAAATTCACAAGTGTAAACCCATCATCATCTTGTTTCAATCGTTTCCCCTTAGAGACCCAATCACAGTCAAACAAAACCACTCTTCGACCTCTACCATAGTCCAATTCCAGAATATCCTTTAAGACACCATAATAGGCCAAGTCACTTGAAACCGGATTCATATCCTTGGTGCTTGCGAAACTTGATGTTATTGCAGTAACAATCACCCCACTATTCTGATTTTTTCTTTTGCTCTCCAAATATTTTGTATGAAATCTAAAACCATTCACAATGTATCTCTCATACTTCGAACCCACAACATTTGGACCCTTGGCCAATAATCTCAAATCTTTTGAGATAACTTCATTCTCGGGTAGAAAATCATCCACCTATGCAAAATAAAAAAGTAAATTAATAAAATAATTGTACAGAATTTGGACAGTTAAAAGTACAGTGATACTTTGTATATTAACTCACATGGCTGTCAAACCAATTTGCAAATGTCTCACTATGAATCCGCTCCTTTTCATGTTTTGAACTACGCAAATGCTACTCTTCAACCAATTTACGATGTTGGCTTCATCAATTATAATAGTCAATCAACATAGTTGTCTATATACATCCATCATTATTAAAAGATGATTAGTTTTATAAAACAAGTATAGAGTACAATTACTTACTTGATATATGGATCCACGGCTTCACAATTGAATATCACATATTGATGTGCCTTTTTTATGATTTCATCATCCATTACAACTGAATTTCCTTTTCCTAATGGCCGACCTTGTATGGAAAAAATCTCAAGTCCTTCAGTTGTACTTTCACCTCCATCTTCATTTCTACTTGATCGATTGAACTTAGTTGTCACTTCATCAGATAAGTAGAGAGAGCAAAATGTCAAGCACTCATCAACTAGGTACCCCTCTGCAATTGAACCTTCAGGCCGACTTCTATTTCGGACATAATTTTTCAAAGTGCATAGGTACCTAAGACAATTACAAATGTAGTAAGTGATTAATAATGATACTCACATAGCAATAAAATAGAAATTATAAAGTTATAAAAGTTACCTTTCAATCGGATACATCCAACGATAATGTACTGGACCAGCTATCCTTGCTTCGGTTGCTAAATGAGTGGTCAAATGCACCATTATAACAAAAAAAGATGGTGGAAATACGCGCTCTAACTGGCATAGTACAACAGCAATTTCCTTTTCCATACGAAGCAGTTCCCAAGGACAAAGAGCTTTACAACATAAATCTCTAAAGTATTTGGACAACTTTATCAACGGAGACCGCACCGATTTTGGAAGAAGTTTTCTATAACAGAGTGGTAACAGTTGCTGCAGTAATATGTGATTGTCATGACTCTAAAGCCCGGTTAGTTTGGGAGGTTTCAAATGCACGGACTTTGAAATTGTGGCTGAATAACCATCCGGTACTTTAACCTTTTTTAGAATTTTACAGAATAACTCTTTCTCCTTCTTATCCAAATAGAAACATGTTGGAGGCAAATATGCTCTCCCAAACTCATCTGTAATAGGATAAAGACCTGCTCGTATGCCCATTTCTTCCAAATCACGCCGTACACCAAGGTTATCATACTTGCCATCCACATTCAATAATGTTCTAACTATTGTCTCACATACATTTTTTTCAATATGCATGACATCAAGACAATGACGTAACAAATTGTTCTTCTAATATGGCAAGTCAAAAAAAATGCTTTGTTTCTTCCAGTTAAAGGGTAATTCAGGGTTATCATTGACTGCCTTCCCAAATTTGATTTTATAAGACCTCAACTCCTCCAAGATCATATCACCTGTCAAGCGAGGTGGTGCAACTCCATGTTCTTCCTTTCCATCAAAGTGACGTTTATCTTTTCGATATGGATGCTCCTTTTCCAGAAATCGCCGATGACCCATGTAACATTGTTTTGAACCATGTCTTAAATGGTGTGAAACGGTGTGCTTATGACATACTGGACATGTTAAATAACCTTTAGTACTCCAATCAGATAAATTAGCATAACCAGGAAAATCACTAATGGTCCAAAGTAAAGCAGCATGCATCTGAAAATTTTCCTTTGATGATGCATCATAAGTAGTCATACCTACATCCCACAATTCCTTCAACTCAGCTATAAGAGGTTGAAGGTAAACATCAATGTTATTCCCAGGTGCATATGGGCCAGGAATGAGTAGTGACAACATAAAGTATGGTTGTTTCATGCACATCCATGGTGGCAAATTATAAGGCATCAGTACTACCGGCCATGTACTATGGTTCACATTCATAGATTTAAATGGATTAAATCCATCAGAAGCTAAACCCAATCTGACATTACGAGGATCTTTTGCAAATTCGGGATTTTGGTAATCAAATGATTGCCAAACCGGAGTATCTGCAGGATGTCTTATGCGACCATCCTTAGTATGACCCTCGACATGCCATTTCATGAAAGATGCTGTTTTAGATGACATGAACAGACGCTGCAATCTGGGTTTAAGTGGAAAGTGCCACAAAACCTTGTGGGGAACCTTTCTTTTTTCACCAGTAGGATCATCCTTTGTTCCTTCCCACCGTAGATGCTTACAAGTGTCACATTTTATCTTTGATTCATCTTTTCCCCAATACAATATGCAATCATTAGGACATGCATCATATTTTTCGTATCCAAGTCCTAGTTCTTTCATTTTTTTTTTTTTTGCTTCATAATAAGAATTGGGTAGATTTACACCTTCTGGGAATGCTTGCCTCAACAAATCAAGAAGTGTATTAAATACAGATTCGGGCATTTTGCTGAGACATTTAATATGTAACAAGCGGATCAGAAAAGATAGTTTAGAGAATTGCGGGCAATTTGGATAAAGGGGCTGCTTCGAATCATTTATTAAATTGTAGAATTTTTCTGCCTCAATATTCGGCTGTTCTGTTTCTAATCTTTCTCCCACATCTAGGTTCTGGTTTAGAACTCCTACTACATCTTGTAACAATCCCTGCATATAATCTATGGGATTGAGTGATGGAACTTCATTTGATGAGCCATGTGAAGATGTATGATGCAAATTCGAAGATAGCTCTTCATGAGCTATGTAGACACCAAAATTTTAGCGTAATTTGCATTTACTATTTTGTCTTAATTTTTATTTGTCGTGTTAGTTTTATTCACTTTTTAGTTTTTAGTTTTTTAGTTTTTTATTTTATTATTTTTATTTTTAAGTTTTAATATAGAATTTCTCGAAAAAGAAAAAAAGAAAAAGCATTCAAAAATTATGTTTTAGTTGTTTTGATTTAAATTCAACGTTTTCTTGGAAAAATATGAAAAATGAAAAAAAAGGGGAAACCCGATTGCGGGTTTTGGGCTATTGAAGAAAAAGAAAAAAAAAAGCAAAAAAAGAAGGAAAAAGAAAGAAAAATTAGCATTTCATTTTTATCTTTTTATGCCTAGCTCCGCTCATTTTATTCAATCTTTCTTCATTAGTTATTTTTCTTAATTAGTTATTTATATTGTGTTAAATTATTATAAAAAAAAAGTGGCAAAACCACGTTTTGCCTTCGGCTGCAGCAGAAAGGATTTGCAGCTGCATGGCTTGGCTCCGTTCGATGGTGAAGGTACAAGCCATCTGGCTTCATCCAAACCATCATTGATAGGGTTCGGTTATGGCTCCCCATATAAAAGAGATGAAAGACAGCAAATGAAAGGAAAAAATTGGTGACGGCTGGGAAGTGTGAAAGAATAGGGGAAACAGCAGCGAGGTTTTGAGGGAGAAAGAAACTAAGAAAGCAAGAGGAAAGGTCTCGGTTGTGCAGAAAGGAGGTCGGATGAAATTGATAGCTGGGGAGGTTGAGCGAAAGGGAACCCGAGAGCTGAGTAGAGTTGGCGGCTGTGGGGGATTGAAAAACAGAAACCAGAGAGAGGTGGGAAAATGTAGTTGGCGGCTGGGCTAAGTAAAAAGGCCGAGAGAAAAACATTGAAAAGGCAGGTGGTGGAAGTCTAAGAGAAAAGAGAGAGCGGCCAAGCTGGAAAAGAAAGAAACAGCTGCAGGGAGGTCTAGGGTAGAATCCAAGTTGACGGCTGAAAAAGGTTTGAGAAGCAAGGAGGAAGAAAGCCTCGGGCAGGAGGAAATTTTGTGGAAAAAACGACAAGAAGAGGCTGCCCCTGTTTTCTCCTTTTTCTTTCTTTCGTGCACCGCCGCCCACCCCAAATCTTCTCTCTTCCTCACGCCATCTGCCCAGCCCACCACCAGTCCGCATCCTTCTATCGCTGCTGATTCCACCTCCATACTTTGCCCCAAAGCCTGCTGGTTGCGGCTGAAGGTCCTCACTGCCGTCACTGCCGGGCAAGCGTTATTGCCAGTGGTGGATATGATAGTAAGCAAATCCTGAGGAAGGTGTCTAAATCGCGGCTCAAACCAAGAAGCTCGAAAGTTCCAGTTTTTTTTGGGGTCTGCTCATGGGAAGTTTCTTCCTCTCGTCCGTTCGATTGTTGGAGGATCCTACACGTTCAGACCAAATTGTGACGAAACAGTAAGCTCTTTTCTCTCTTGATTAAGATCTCAGCATGTGTAAATTCCTAGTTTTCTTTTATCAGCCATCTGTTTTTTTTCATTTCTGCGCCTTCCATGTCATGGGTTTTGCGCAAGGAGAATTGCTGGTTCCCATTCTGATTTTCCTCGCATGTTTGGATGTTGAATTCCTGGGTTTTGATTGCTAGAATAAAGTTTGATGCTTGCTTGGATCTTGGTTCCCTCTGTTTGACATGAAACCCAGAAACCTGTAGAGGTTCATGAATGTTCTGTTGGTTTCTTTTGTACATAATTTAGGATAGAAATCTTTGAGGGGTGCATGAGGATGGATTTAGATGATAGGATGCATAAAGTTTGTTTCGGCTTGAAAAGATTGCTGTTTGTTTGGGTTTCGTTACCTGCGTCTGGAACGGATTTCATAAGAAGCATATATGCAGAAAGCTTCTGAAGTTACAAAGGAAAGAAAGCCATCGCAGCTTTGCATGAAACATTTTCGAAAACCCCCCAAGTCCCTTTTTGTTATAATATGGCCTGGAAATTTAGGACAACTGGTCAATTGGGTCCCATAAAAATCTGGTTTTTGATTGATACGCTTCAATTTGCTTTTTGCATTGAATGTCTATGATTCTTGGGATAAGATTGTGAAGATTTGATGTTTTGGGTAATTTTATAGTCCTAATTTGAATTTTTAGTGGAGTATTAGAAGTTTTGTCGTTTAACATAGGAAACGGTCTTTTATTCTTTTCCTTGTGAAATTTTTGCATTTGATTGTGATAGATTTTTTTTATGTTAGACCTTAAAGCCCTTTTATCTTAATTCGCTTTAATTCTTAAATATAGATGAGCTAGTTTATGTAAATACTTATCCTTTGTTTAATCGTTATTTTTGTGTTTAATTTCCATTTCGTTAATTGTTAATTAAGTGATGCCTTGACCCTTTTCTTCGTTTTGGAGGGTAAATAAGTAATTTTTCACCCCATTAGAGCTTCAACTCAAGGGAGGTATAACTTCTTTTATCTTTTTTTTTGTCTCTCCTCTATGTGATCCAACGTGCTAAGTGAGAATTGCATGACTACTTTGCTTTCCGTGCCTTTCCATTCCCTTCATTTGTTTCATTTACTTTTGCTTTCATTAAGTTATTCTTTATGGGGTATGTGTACACCTCTTGGCTTGTAATAAATAGGGCTTGGAGAGCGTTTTTGTCCATTTTCCCCTTCCCCTTTTGTTTTAGTTAGCAAAATGCAATAGGTTCATTAGATTGATTGCTTACTTTTGTTGCTACGTATTAATTTGCTTTATTAAGCTCTTGCATTTAGTCGAGCATGCTAAGTGTTATGTGCTACGTGTTTATAGGTGATTGGCATGTCTACTTGCTCTCTATAGTCATAGATGAATGTGATGGATGAATGCACGTCACCACACTAGTCTAACGCTAGTTGTGGCTCATTGTCCCGTTTTCCACTAGTCCAACGCTAGTAGGAATTCATAGATATGGGCTAGTCCAATGCTAGACCCTTAGGGATTTCCCTCGCTAGTTCATACTTGCATGTTTCACTACATTTCATGCATTTTTCTTAGTTTTCTAGCATTCGGCATGCTCCTCCAATCCTTTCCCCTTCATTTTAGGCTTTTGCATCTTCATGCTAGTTATAGGGTACATTTGCTTGAGGATCCCCTTCAGATAAGGGAAACGAGCGAGTGTGGCTACAAAATAGTCTTAGCACGCTAGTTCTTCCTTCTAATCAAAGGGAAAATTAAAGTCATGAAGTTAGGAGTCATTCCCGTACCCGACTTGATGCATTCCTCTAGGTTCATGCACTCTCATTCTTATCATATCATTTCCTCACTCTTTTATCCACATTTTTTCACAACTTATATTTTTCTCAATCCACATGCCATGTTTGCACATTTTTCTTCTTTTATCATTTATTTTCTACCTCACAAATTGCACACAATTGCACTTATATGCATCTACTATTATATTTTCATCCACTAGCACACAAACACCTTTATTTTCTCAATTGGCACACATGCACTTTTCTCAATTGGCACACATGCACTTTTCTCACATTTGCACACTTGCACTTTTCTTACATTTGCACACTTGCATTTTTCTTACATTTGCACACTTACACTCATACTTGAGTTTTCATTTGCATTATTCATGACCTCTACGAGGGCTTTCCTTATTGGCCACCACAACTCATGTGGTTGGGACCAAAAGCCTCATAAGAGACATTTTAGATTTAGGATTGCATTTTTCTTTCCTTTTTCATATCCATTAGTCACATCCAACATGCAACGCATATTTTGGGTAGAAGAATTAGGAAAAGTGGGGTTAAATCACGCAACTAGCTCTTGCTAGGGTAAAGGAGTGCCTTAGGCTTTGCCTTTGCCTTCTCCCTTATCAAATGTGACCCCCGATCCCTTTCTTTGGTTACGTAGACCTAAAAGTTCTTTAAAAGGGTTTGTTTACTTTTTCGTTCAAAATACTAAAATCATTTTTGGGTGACTTGGTACACCTTAACTCTATACCAAGTGGCGACTCCATTTTCCATTCAAAAACCCTTTTTGAACTTTGTTTGGCCAAATCGTGGCATTTTCAAGTCCCACGGCCTTTTATTTTCATTTTCACACACGTTCACATACATATCCCACACACTACTTTCACACACATTCAAAAAGTGGGGCGCGACAGTTGGCGACTCCACTGGGGACTTCCTAAGTGGGTCCAAGCATTTGATTTAGCTATTCTTTTCCTTTTTTCTATCCTTTTTATGCATAGCATTTGGATATTAGGGTTGCATTTTCCATTTTAGGACTTTTTGCTTCGCGCGCGTATCAAGCTATTCCCTCACTCACGTATGTATGATTGGGTTGTTTGGATGTATGTTGTACTTGTTTTATCTCGCGCTTTGCATTGCATTTGGGGGGGGGGGGTGCGCGTCACCTTTAGAGCCTCGCGTTGGTTCTCAACCCCTTCCCTCAAAATAGGGAACACTTCATACGTGCATGTTTATTTACTGTTATCCCATTTTATTTTATTTTCGTGGGCTCTTTCCCACACCGCCTTGTAGGACTAGGAATGGTTTCTCTAGGTATGTGGATGGTGTGCTCTGCGCCCATAGCAGTACCTAGGGGATCGCTCGAGCCACCGACCGAGGGTCT